AAGACAGAAAATAATCCAGTTTTTCCTCGAGATATCATCATTTATTTCTGACTTGGCTTGACGTTAGCTTTTCTTTGCAAAATACACCACAGCCTGTTGCTTTTGAAAATACAATTTCGTGTTAAGAAAAACGTTTAATGTGCGGCACACAAAAAAAAAGGCAGAAGAAAAACTCTTTTCTTGATATTTTTGCCCCCTTTTCTGCCTTTCCTTTCAGCTTGCTTGATTTTGTTTAAAGAAATCGCAGATAAAGTTTTTTTCGCAGAGGCTGCTAAGTTTTGCTGGGGGGAAAGTGTGGAAGTTTCACTCAATAGTTGAGTGCGGATAAAAAGATTGCTGATAAACATAGGTAAACACCGCGGAGATCATACTTTAAGGCATTTTTTCTCCCCAAAGAATGCCTCGGAAGGACCACAAGTTTTCATTTGCAGAAGAGCACTATAATAAGGACTAAGACTCCGGGATGCAACAAGTAAGCAAAGTCAGCGAGAGCTATAAAATCGTTACGGAAAATTAAACAACTTATTGGGGTTTCTTACTTCTTTCCCCGAGGCGACTGTTGGCAGCGCTGACTCTGCGCTCCTTAATTTATGCAAATTTCATGCTACGCGTGGCGCGCCCCCCCTGGAATCCCCACTCTTCCCTCTGAATTCTTGCCAGGAGAAGAAAAAAAACCATCCGAGAACGAATGTATATACGCCCCGCTGGGCGAGTGGGCGCTGTGTGTGACACAATTTTCTGCCACTCAACATGTGGCAGGGATGTAGAAAAGCAAAAGTCACTCTCAGCTGCAACAATGGAGCGCCGAAAGCTGCTCAAGTGCCAAATGTCTTTGGACTTGAAGTTGCGGCTACGGCTCAGACTCCGACTATGGCTCCCTTTTTCGCCCCGTCGGTAATTTGTTGCAATTGCAGGATGCTTAAAAAATGTATATTAGTTGAAATTTAATTTTCTGTTTGTTAACTTGACTTCTTTCTTGCTTTATTTTCTGCCAGACCGCACGAATTTTCGCTTCTCGGCAGCTACTCTTTGTTTGTGCGGTGAAAGTTTCGCAAGTGGAAATTATGCAAAATACGTTGGGAGCTGCAAAATATTATTACGCATACGCCAGGTGGGTGCTGCTAGCACGATGCATGTGCCAGCTGAAAGTTTCCCCTGCGTCTGCGACTGCGGCTTTGGCACTGCAATAACTTCAATTAAATTTCGTTGCACATTTTTCATGTAACGGATGGCCCGGGGCTGAAAGGGTTTTCGGGTAAGGGTCTCGATGTGGATCTAGGAACCAACTTTGGCTCATAACTCAATTTTTTATATGTCTTTGGCCCAAAGCCAGTACGGATGCGGATCGAGAGCGTGTCTTCATTAGCAGCAAAGCTGATGAGAATGGATAAAACGTTTTTTACTGAAGAAAATATGTCGAAAAGTGGTAATATGAAATTGTTGCAAAAGTTAGTTGTGGTGTTTTTATTCAAGGAATATTTTATTTCTTGGCTACTGAAAACCATTATGCAAATTAACCAATCACAATATATTTTTTTAGACTGCCAAGTTTCATCATTATCTTCTGGTTTAAGACACTTTTATAAGTCAGATCATTAAGCTGTACTCATAATGATTTCGTTCTCATTAAAAATCGTATTAATCACCTGACTTAGAGTTACTTAATGTTTAGGATTCTCTTTCCAAATCACTGATTACCTGGCCCATAAGTCAAAGGCGTTTATTAGCTCTCGCCTCGTTTATGACCCTTAAGCTAACGACTTTATTAATGCATCAACATTTTTCATACGGACAATTGAACAATTTCGAAAAAGTTCCAGTCCTTGCGGATTATTTGGGATTCCTTCAAGTCCGTTAATTGTTAAATGCAAACAAGAGACTGTTGTCTTGTTTAATATATGGGCTCGAGTGTAATGACTTTTTTTTTTGGGTAGAAACCAAGCTTTGTTCGCATAGATGAAGATCTTGAGATTGTGAGATATCAAGTTAAGTGCTTAAATTTTGCTTTATAACATTTTAATGGCCCGCCATGCCCGGTCCCAGGCTGTAAAATGTCATAAAATTTTCAACAAGTCCTTTAACTTTTCTTTGGGGGCTCGGGATGTGCCTAAGTGCATTGAGTTCAATTTGGAAACTGCTTCGTCGGCGATAAGCGCCAAAGCACTTAAAATGCTTTATTTCCACTTCAGCTACAAAGCAATTTTATTAGCTTTAGAAAATTACAACAAAGTCGGCCCTCCGCCCTCTGCATCGTCAGCAGCTGCAGCACAAAATGACAAAATTATGATGACTTTTTAATTAAGCAACGCGAGCAGAGACAAACAGCAACAACAACAAATGGGAGTGGCAACAAAAATTTGTTGCCAAGTGAAAGAGCTAAAAATTTCTGACGAAATGAATGAGATGAGCGGCTGCACAGAGAAAGAAATTTTCTAACAAAAGAATTTTCAGAAAATCAGAGATTTTAAATACTTATTCCTGAATTTATTGTTTATTGTTTTCATTTCTCTTAAATCCTATTAATAATTATTTATATATATTTTTATTATATATATTTTCCAGTGCTAATGGGGATGGGCTTTTGGGTTTAAAAGGATGATAATGAAAGTGTGGGCCCCAGACAGCTGCCATTTGGCTACTTTGCTGTGGCCGGGCCCATTGTTTTGTCAGTGCCACGTGATGCGAAAATTCACAAACAACGGCCAACCGAGCTGGTCAAGAGCAAAGCCAACAACAGTGGCACAAGCCGAAGTATCAGGAGGAGCAGTAGCACCACCAGTGGCCCATTGAGATCCAGATTCCGCCCGGATTTAGTCCGGATTTCGTCCGGCAAACAACAAGCGGGCAGCTGAAGAAAATGCAGATGCACTCGAATGTCTGGGGACAGCAACGCGCCAGATAATGCCCGCCCTAGCCGCCGCCCCGTCCTTGTCATTGTCCTGTAAAATAACTCTATAATCCCCAGTCTCATTGCTCAGCTCGAACAACAATCATTGCCAGCTGTAAGTAGTTGCACAAACGCCGCCTCCTCGCCATCTATATAAAGTCAAACAATGAACATTCATTTGATGTTGGCTTTTGTCGTTCCGAAATGAAGAAAACTTCAAGGCTGACTTGTGTTTTTTTTATATTTTTTGCCCAGTCATTTCGGCCATTTTAAGGCTATTTGGCAGAGTAATAATTTCTGTAATATTTCAAGCAAGAAAGATACAAATTTCAAGGAAATTTTGTAGAACTTTGCCTTGAGCAGTTAATGAAAGAGCATATCAAAGCGAGAAATTAGGGCAAGTTGTTGCTGAAGTGGGGAAAAACAATTTTTGCTTTGGCAGCGGAAATATTTGATTTCTTTTAATTGCTTGTTGAACTAAATCTAAAAGTAGAAGACGGCTACTTAAAAATGAAAAAGAAACTACATTTCCTTAAATCCCTTTCCAAGACCTATTATTAAACGCTTTCCATATGTAATTCCAATAGAGCCTCTTATTAAATGAAGCTGCATTAATATTTTAAGCCAGCAAAAGTTTTTCTTCTTCCCTTTTTTTGTGTTTAATGCGGACTTTGGAAAAAACCCTTGGGTGCGAGGAAACTGCCAAGCGGAGCAAAAGTTTTTCGCAAGTTGCCTTCGAACCATTTTCAGTTCCAGCTCCTATCCTGAGGCCTCAGCCTCTGCCTTTGCCTCTGCCATGTGGCCAAAAAGCGCTGCGAAGCGGAAATGTCAATGCAACGGCACTTGCACTTCCGCTGCCTACTTTCGTGCGTTGCCATAGCCAACTTTGCCTGACTGCCTCTGCCTTCTGCCTTCTGCCTCTGCCACTGTTACTGCCTTTCTGCCTGCCTTCCTGCCGATCCTGATGCGGATTCGTATTCGGATTGGGAATCTGTGTCTCCATTGTTCCAGAGCAGTCGACCTGCTGACGTTAGCACAAAATGGAAACAAATGGAGGCCCGAGGGCTCAGCTCATCCTCATCGTTGTCGCCCCCAGAACTCCTGCCCATCTGTCTGCTTAGCAAATTTTCGATGATGATAAATGTGAATCCTCGGGGTGGTGGGAAAAACCCTATATTGATAACTTTAAAAGCCCGGCTTTTGTCTTAGACTCCGCACCCTGTACCCCCCGCTTTCGATACAGTTTAAAATTGTCAACTTGGCTTTTTCACGCATCATCAATTGGCGTTTATTTAGTGTCCATTTGGGAGAGGGTGGATCTGGTCCACATAGTTTTCTTAGCGCCCTCGGGCAGCTGTCTTTTGTTTGTAGGCCATAAATTCAGCTCGACCAACTGCATAAATTATGGGCAAGGGTGCGTGCGGGGTACTTTATTTTATCAACATCGCCCATGGTAGCTCTAGGTCCCTTTTCTTCCTGTTCTCCCGCTCCTCCAGCAGCTCCGCCTGCAGCTGGCAAACGACGTTGTCCTTAAGCTGCTTGTGCAATTGCCGCATACTTAAGGTAATCTCGGCGAGCGCTGCGCTTACTTCAAATGGCCATTCATCAGACTCGTTGAATGCAAACGGCAAATAAATGGCAACTGTCGCAACTTCCCGCCCATCTCCTCCAGCATCCTGCCGCGCGCTGCTCCTTCGCCCCAAACAATGGCTGACCGGCCAACAATTGTCATAGAAAACTGTCGACGCAACGCGGTGGCTGGTAGTCAGGGTCGAAAGGTCGGCGGGGCCCTGTAATCGTAATTGTATGTAGTTGGCCACTTAGCGCTCTTTTGCCTTAATGCCACTTTTCTTCAGATTTACACAAATGCCATTGTTGCCTTTGTGCCGCCGTCTGAAATGTTTTCGAAAACTATTTTCATCTAATATGAGATTGTTTTTGTCAACACGCGATGGAGGTGAAAGGATAAGGAATGCTAATCTAAAAATAAATTGCCTGAATGAATCACAACTAGATTAAATCTGATCTAACCTTATTGAAGATTATTTTGAAGATAGAAAATATATTCTATAAATAGTAAGCTAGGCGAAAATTTCAAGCAAGTAGCAATGAATTCTTCCTAATTTAGTATTTTAATAATTATGCAAGTCTTTTTAAAGGCTTTGTTGTTTAATAAAAGTTATTTAACAAAAGTCTAGGGCCTTGTTTGTTTTCACATCCCAATTCTGGTCTCGCAGGCCACAATCTTCATTTTTCCCACGTGCAAAATCTCATGTTTCTCACGTCCATCTCGCTCGTAGAAGACAACATCCTTGAGTATTAGGATCCAGACCTTGTCGCAGAATCTGTAGACATCTAACTTGTCGCCCTTGAAGGTCAGCTGGGGCTTGTCGTTGTGGCGCAGGAGCCGGTTAACGCTGCGATCGAACTGATCCAGTACATCCTCGGCCAGGTTTGGGTTCAAGTCTCCAAACTGGATGAGATAGTCCAGGGTCTCCTGCAGAGTCTCACCCAGGGTGGTACCACGGTACATTTTGTAGGCCATCTTGAAATTGGATTGGATTATACATATATATATTATATGGATGTTTTGTAGAAAATTTAGACTTACTTTGGATAGAATCACAGCTTGAGCAGAACCAGTCAAAGGCGAAAGCAAAATCCAAAAGAAAGAAAATTTCTAGTGAATTTCTGAATGTCATGCAGCACTAGAGAGGAGAATCCTTAAGGCCTGTAATCGATATATAAACGATGTGCAGTTATCGAAACTTGAAAAACTCGTAGCTATGAAAAAGTATTGCCAATTATCTGGATAAAGGAAAATATGGATTAAACAAGAAAGAAAGCTAACTTTGGCCAGCCAAAGTTTGTATACCCTTGCAGGTAACAATTAAAATATATCATAACTAAGCCAAAAATGCATTAATTTCGATTCGGAAAGCAGTTTTGTGTTAGTTTTTATTAATTTAAAAAAACTGCATACCAAATTTAAAATTTTAAGAAATCAAAATTTTTTTCAATTTTTGCTAATTTTAATGATGTAACCCCTTATCAAATTTCGCAAAAATGGCCAAAAATTCGATTTCTTCCGAACATGTCTAGAAAGATTTGCATGTTAATGCTGATCAAGAATATATATGGTTTATGGGGTCGGAAATGATTCCTTGACTTAGAAAAATATTATTTTGCATTATAAAATCTGATTTTTTATATTAAAAAACTTATTGATTTTTTAAAATTAAAAATATCATACCAAAAGAGTATTAATTTTAAATCGGAAAACTGTTCTGTGCAAGATTTTCTACAGTTAATAAATCTGTATACTTCATTTAAAAATTTTGAAAATTCAATTTTTTATCAAAATCAAAAGATTTAATGATGTAACCCCTTATAAAATTTTGCAAAAATGGCCAAAGAATCGATTTCTTCCTGACATATCTAGAAAGATTCCCCTGTTGGTGCTGATCAAGAATATATATACTTTATAGGGTCGGAAACGTCACCTTCACTGCGTTGCAAACTTCTGACTGAAATAATAATACTCTGCAAGGGTATAAAAATAAATACAATTTAATTGGCATTCTAAAATTTCAGAATATTACACGAATTCCCTTTAAATATATATAAAATCTATACATAATCGGCATAAGAATTTTATTAGTGGAAAATTTAAAAATATATTAAAGAGCAAGGAAAAAGAAAAATTTAGCTGCTGAAGTTAGCTCCTTTTCTTGTTTTTATATAATTTTTATAGTATATATATTCATAGTATGTCTTAAGAACATTTGCTGGAATAAACTAAAATTTAAATTCATCTTTTACATGCCAAACTTGGCCATATTTAAATTTTGCCCCTCTAGCCAAGTAACCCTTCCCGGCCAGACAAAAGGTTGCCTTAGCCAAATAACCTTGCAACTTTGTGGCAAGTATGGCATATGTGTTTGCCAAGAAAGCGACTTGGGCCAGACTCCGGGCATTAAGCCAGCGGAGCAAACAAGTTTAATCACTCTTTGATGGCCATAATTCAAATTAGGCAACCGACAAATAGGCCGACGCAATGGCTCAATGGCTGCCTTTAAGCGACCTTTAAGTTGACCAGCATTTGGGTCGCCATTTTCGAGGGGAAATACAAAATGGCTGGAGAGGGAGGGTAACTAAGAGACAATGGGCGCGCGTCTGGCGGAAAACGGAAGCGAGCAATGGCGAACTGCGGCCTAATGTGCAGCGGGCACAGTGGGTGTGGGCACAGTGGGCATTGCGTTCTGGGTGGGTGGCTAAATGGCCTTTCCATTGGGCCTGGCCCCAAACGGAAGCTTTCAATTTCAAGCTGCAATGGAGAGAGAGAGAGCAAGTCGCAGGCAAGTGGTCCGGGATCAGGGCGACCAAGAGCAAGAGCCAGAGCACGAGGACTGTGAGAAGGAGGAGGAGGAGAAGGTGGAGGAGGACGACGACAAGGACGCCGAGTCTCGGACTGCAGCTCAAAGCAGAAAAAGTAATTTATTTCGTATTGCGGTTTTTAACCACATTTTCCACTTTGTACAACAGCAACGACAGCCGAAAACTGCAGCTACCATCTTCATTCCTATCTCCATGGCTATATAAATTTTCCCCAATCGCCATCTCGCTCCCGCGCCGGAGCTTTGTGTGCGCCTGTGTTCCACTTTCTGCTCGATAAAAAGGGCTCAAATGCGGTTCCGTTTTTCTTTTGCCGCTCGTCGCCTCCTTTTCGGCACATTCCCAGGCATTTTCCTTTTAGCTCCGCACAAAATTTCACCGTTCAAATTGCATTTGACCCGGCCAAAAAATGAAGGAAAAAAAATGTAAAGGAAAAGAAAAGTGTAGGAAACAGAGAAGAAAAGTGGCTAAGAGGAAAAGAAGTATTTTCTATTTCTGGGTTTTTGTTGGCCACTTTTTTGCACCTTGCCACGCAAATTGCATTACCATGAAGTTATGAGCGACAAGTGTGCGAATGTGAATCTCTGGGAGGAGATAGAGAGCAGAGTGCTCCAGTGCTAAGCGAGATATATGCACTTTTCCGGGCCTTATTTGGTATGCGTTGCAAGGCCGCCGACAAGTTGTTTATTGTGCTGTTCAACCATAAATGATGCCAACTTTTTCCCCGAGGCCATCTCTGTCAGTGCCAGTTCTTTGTGAGCCAGAAGATGGTGAATAATAGTGTCAAAGGGGTTTTATACAGTTGCTAGAAGTATTAAAAATTCTCAAATTGGCTTCTAAAAAAGTTATAATACAATAAAAAATATTGCTTGTGGCTTCATAATGCGACAATATGAAAAGTTGGCAATTTTCAAATGAAACTCTTTGGGAAAAATTTAAAAATCCAACAGGCAGGCAATTTCTTAAGCCTCGTTTTCCATTCCATCGAGGTCTTATATCCTGAACAAGAAAGAACCAATCAATTGCGGGTTCAATTGTGGACAGAGCCGAGAACAAAACAAAGGAAAACAAGGCTACGAAAAAAACAAAAAACCGAAATTATTCCCACGATAATTACATTTCGCCATGTAGGAGACAACAAAGAAGCAAACGGAAACAAATGAAGAAAACATTGCAGCAAGAAAATAAACAGCAAACGGCAGAGGAAAATCAAACAAGGCTAGGGAATGCCGGCAGAGCTGGAAAATGAAAGAGGTGGAGAAAGGGGGGAAACCCCCCATTGATTACAGTGTGAGTGAGCTCGAGGAGCTTTCGCTTTGGTTGAGTGGAGCTTTTGCCATCGAGCCGTTTAATGTGCAGTTAGCAGCAAAGTGGGGCGCAGCGACTTGCAACTTAAGCGCCATCAAAATCGCAGCGCCCACTGCCACCCCCTTAAAGAACACAGAGCAAAAAAATTAGTTAATATTAGAGGATCTTATTAAAAATATTAATGAACTAATTTAAATAGGCAATCAATGAATACTCAGAATATTGCATTGTAAAAATTATTTTAATTAGTTCTTTTCTGAATTTCCATTATCTTTATAATCAGATTACATTAGCAATTCATTTTAACCCACAAATATCTCAATATTTAAGAGAATTTTAATAAATATTCCAACCAACTTAGAACTATTTTAATCAATTTCCAATAAATACCCAGAAGAAAGAATTTTAAATATGATTAAGCTTAGTTTTTGCAGAATTCCCTTGATTTTACTATGTTCTATAATTTCTTATAATATATTATATATTATAATTAAAAAACAATAATTCTTTCTGTGTGTTTATAAAGTCGCTTATTTAGAGGAAAGTGTGGGGTGGTACAGCAAATTCAATTGCCACTGACACGGATGCTGCCAAAACAAGGCTGAGATGAGATGGGCTGGCTGGCGATGGCTGGAATGGGTTTGACTTTGGTTTGGGGGCTGATCGATTTCACGCTTCAAACAGACCGCCAGACGTGCTCCGAGGCTCTGGCAGCCTTTGTTGCTTTCCTGCCACCTGACCTGGCTCTTGGCCTTGGCCAGAAGTCGAACATGAAACGCTCGAGTGCGTTAAGTCCACGTCCTCTAATGCACACTCGACTCCATTGACACCGCCTTACATTGTGCTCGGTACTTACTTTGTTGCTTGATTAGTAACACCTTTTTGGTGTAAGGAAGCCGGGCCATTAGGCTAGAAAAAATGAGTAGCATCAAACTGTAAGGGAAAAAGAAAATAAAGAGTAAGATGTCATTATAAATTTAAAAGATTTGTTATTTTTTCTTAAACTTATCACAGACTTTCAGAAGTCATTTCTAAATCCCTTTATGATATGTGTGTTTAAAGCCCTGGAATGATAATAAAAATACAATACAATGAAAGAGACTTACAGTTTTATTCTAAGAGCAAAACCATGTTACCTGCTTTGCATTACAACCTTTGTTTATGAAAGCCGAGAACATTACTCTTTCTCTTCTCACACCGCAGGTTTTCGATTTCTGTAATAAAATAAAGCACAAATCAATGCTATAAACCCTACCCAAACCTTGGTCCAGCCCTTGTAATCTAAATTAAGTAAATGCAAATTTAAATTGGGCTTATCGGGTGAGATTTCCCCTTAGCCAAAACCATAGCGAAATTCGGTATGCAAACTTGGAAAGGGAAATTCCAAACACACAAAACCTAAACAGAAACAAAGGGGACCAGATGCACGCGGGAGGGTTACAACCAAGTCAAAAATGTGCTCTCTCTCAAATATTTGCATATTAATGCAGGCATATTGCGTATACGTACGGGTGTACTGGCTTGTGTGTATTATGTTACGTGTTGGTGTGAACTGCTGACCCCTTTCGCCTGGGCCGCCTTTGCCGCCGTTGTTGTTGTTATTGTTGTGGAGCTGTTCATCCTCGTGGCACTCGTGCAGACAGTTCAAACATTTACATACAAAAGTAAAAAGCAAAATAAAAATAAAGAGCGACGACCGAAAGGGATAAAGCGAGGCAACGCATCTGCATTAGGGATGTGAGGAGGAGAGTCACGACTCGTGACAGGCTCGCACCTCCGATAATTTGCACGTTAAGTGTGGAAAAGTCCAAGTAAGATTTCTCAAATTTCACTTAAATTGCTTTGCTGAGGCTGGAATTGGGTCAGTCGGCGACAGGACATTCGTCGGCAGGACCTTCTTCAGTTACTAATTTGCATGAGACGTGACTTTCTAACGTTTGCCTCGATCAAATCACAGACTTACGGCCATCTCCAGTGCGAATCCTTCGGCGTTCGTGTGTATGTGGCGTGTCCCTTTTGGCAT